TAAATTATTAAAGAAACGTAAGATATAATAATATATTTACCTTAATATTCGTTGATACTTGCAGCGAAGACATCTTGAGACACTTGAGATGTTTACTCGTCAAAAGAAAAAGGAGAAATGATTCGGTAATCGCGATTTAGAATTTTTAATGTTTAAATAAATGTACCATAGTTTAAATATTATTCTATCCTATCCCGCTTGCAATAAAAATCATTTAAATAATTATTAAATTATCGATAATATTAATTTATAAGCTTTAGCGTTTAGAAAAGAGAATCGCGATGTAGACTGGTCGAAGATCGAGAGAAAACTAACTCGCGAACTGTCAAAGTCGAGATAAAGTGCGTTTATGTTTATATTACACGAGGCAACTACTCCGAAATTAAAATTTTAAGTAATAGAAGTTTATATTAAAATTATTTTAAGTCCCGCACGCGATTCAGACTTTCTATTGTTTAAATGAATGTACGATTGTTTAAATATTACTCTATTCTATCCCGCGTGCAATAAAAATCGTTTAAATAATTACACACTTACCGAAAATATTAATTTAAAAGCTTTAGCGTTTAGAAAAGAGAATCGCGATGTAGACTGGTCGAACATCGAGAGAAAACTAACTCGCGAACTGTCAAAGTCGAGATAAAGTGCGTTTATGTTTATATTACACGAGGCAACTACTCCGAAATTAAAATTTTAAGTAATAGAAATTTATATTAAAATTATTTTAAATCCCGCACGCGCTTCAGACTTTTTATTGTTTAAATGAATGTACGATTGTTTAAATATTACTCTATTCTATCCCGCGTGCAATAAAAATCGTTTAAATAATTACACACTTACCGAAAATATTAATTTATAAGCTTTAGCGTTTAGAAAAGAGAATTGCGATGTACACAGGTCGGAGGGCAAGAGAAAACTAACTCGCGAACTGTCAAAGTCGAGATAAAGTGCGTTTATGTTTATATTACACGAGGCAACTACTCCGAAATTAAAATTTTAAGTAATAGAAATTTATATTAAAATTATTTTAAATCCCGCACGCGCTTCAGACTTTTTATTGTTTAAATGAATGTACGATTGTTTAAATATTACTCTATTCTATCCCGCGTGCAATAAAAATCGTTTAAATAATTACACACTTACCGAAAATATTAATTTAAAAGCTTTAGCGTTTAGAAAAGAGAATCGCGATGTAGACTGGTCGAAGATCGAGAGAAAACTAACTCGCGAACTGTCAAAGTCGAGATAAAGTGCGTTTATGTTTATATTACACGAGGCAACTACTCCGAAATTAAAATTTTAAGTAATAGAAGTTTATATTAAAATTATTTTAAGTCCCGCACGCGATTCAGACTTTTTATTGTTTAAATGAATGTACGATTGTTTAAATATTACTCTATTCTATCCCGCGTGCAATAAAAATCGTTTAAATAATTACACACTTACCGAAAATATTAATTTAAAAGCTTTAGCGTTTAGAAAAGAGAATCGCGATGTAGACTGGTCGAAGATCGAGAGAAAACTAACTCGCGAACTGTCAAAGTCGAGATAAAGTGCGTTTATGTTTATATTACACGAGGCAACTACTCCGAAATTAAAATTTTAAGTAATAGAAATTTATATTAAAATTATTTTAAATCCCGCACGCGCTTCAGACTTTTTATTGTTTAAATGAATGTACGATTGTTTAAATATTACTCTATTCTATCCCGCGTGCAATAAAAATCGTTTAAATAATTACACACTTACCGAAAATATTAATTTATAAGCTTTAGCGTTTAGAAAAGAGAATTGCGATGTACACAGGTCGGAGGGCAAGAGAAAACTAACTCGCGAACTGTCAAAGTCGAGATAAAGTGCGTTTATGTTTATATTACACGAGGCAACTACTCCGAAATTAAAATTTTAAGTAATAGAAATTTATATTAAAATTATTTTAAATCCCGCACGCGCTTCAGACTTTTTATTGTTTAAATGAATGTACGATTGTTTAAATATTACTCTATTCTATCCCGCGTGCAATAAAAATCGTTTAAATAATTACACACTTACCGAAAATATTAATTTATAAGCTTTAGCGTTTAGAAAAGAGAATTGCGATGTACACAGGTCGGAGGGCAAGAGAAAACTAACTCGCGAACTGTCAAAGTCGAGATAAAGTGCGTTTATGTTTATATTACACGAGGCAACTACTCCGAAATTAAAATTTTAAGTAATAGAAATTTATATTAAAATTATTTTAAATCCCGCACGCGCTTCAGACTTTTTATTGTTTAAATGAATGTACGATTGTTTAAATATTACTCTATTCTATCCCGCGTGCAATAAAAATCGTTTAAATAATTACACACTTACCGAAAATATTAATTTATAAGCTTTAGCGTTTAGAAAAGAGAATTGCGATGTACACAGGTCGGAGGGCAAGAGAAAACTAACTCGCGAACTGTCAAAGTCGAGATAAAGTGCGTTTATGTTTATATTACACGAGGCAACTACTCCGAAATTAAAATTTTATAGTAATAGTACTTTGTGTTAAAATTATTTCAAGCCCCGCGCTCCTATACGTATTCTTAACGTTTAAATAAATACACTATTGTTTAAATATTACTTTATCCTATCTCGCGTACATTATAAATTGTTTAAATAATTATAAAATTACCGAGGACATTTATTTATAAGCTTTAGCGTTTAGAAAACGACAGAGTCGAATTACACTTGTCGGATTGCAAAGGTAAACTAATTCGTTAATTTTCAAAGTTTATCGAAACTGACCGTTTAGGTTTATATTGCACAAGTCCAACAACCCCGAAATAAAATTTTTAAGTATTGGAATTTTATATTAAAACTATTTTAAGTTTCTCGCGAATTTCCTTCTTTATAACGTTTGAACGTATCTACTGTTGTTTAAATATTACTTTATTTGTACTCTGTGAACACCTATATTGTTTAAATAATTATAAAATTTCCGAAATTATTAATTAATAAGTTTTCGTACTTAAAAATAGAGAGATTATAATGAGCACACGTCAGAGTGCAACAGAAAATCCACTGTGTTATGAAATTCCACTTCATGTTCCTTTCGTATTCCGTGATGTAAACGTCTAAATGAAATCTTTCCATACCGCTACATTCATTCGTCTTATAGATACGATCATTTTATAATTATATAAACAATATACAATGCACTCATAGTATGATGAAACATTAATTAAATAATTTTACATTTCGTGAAGCGTTTCGTAGCACGTAAGGCGCGTTAAATAATATAGTTTTCATTCACTGTTTGTCGATCGATAATGTCAACAAGGAAGGACCATTGGAAGGACGATACGAGATACCACGTCAGTCTCTTTTCGTACTCCGAGGTGTAAACGTCGAAATGAAATGTTTCCGTATCGCTACATTTGCTCGTCTTATAGATACGATTATTTTATAATTATTTAAACAAAATATAGTGCACTCGGAGTACGATGAGATAGTAATTAAACCATATAGGCGTACGTAAAGCTTTGCATAGCTTGTAAAATGCATTAGATAAAATAGTTTTCTGTCTCTCTTTGTTGTTCGATAATTCCAAGAAGAAGGACCATTGGAAGGACGATACGATATACCACGGTCAGTCTCCTTACGTACCCCGGGAAGTAAATGTTGAAATGAAATTTGTCCGTACCGCTACGTTCAATCGTCTTATAGATACGTATATTTTATATTTTCGTAATCCCGTGGGTGTCCATGTGCAGCAACTTCCACGTAATGAGACCTAGGCCGGTATTACTTGCTAAGTCTAATTCTAAATCATGTAGCACAAATACTACGGAGCGACTGCCTGGATATTTTAAGATATTTCCAATATCTTTTCAATATAATTCCAACTAAACATTAACGTACTCCTTTTTACATTTCTAAGAACTTCAAATAAACAAATGATTAAATATAATAGAACACCAGAGTAAGTATTTAGCGTAGAAAGCTTTTCTATCGCACTTATGTTCTCAATCTATCTCATTTATTCTCATTTTCTCGTACTTATTATTATTTATAAGTCTCGTGTGGTACCCATGGGAGGGACCCGTTGGTGTGGGTTTCTGTGCGTACTGTTGTCTCAGCATCTTGTAGAAATGCATCCCTTTTCTTTTCTTATTCCGCCTCTCTTTGCTTTTATTTTTCTAAGATCATCGCATAATCATAAGGATCATCGAGAGATCATGAAGGGATCATGAAGGGATCATGAAGAGATCATCGAGGAATCATGGAGGGATCAGCGAGCAATTTTCACTATGTGAACCTCATGTTGTAAGTTTCATCATTTTCACGTGCATGCACGTCTCGTCTCTTTTCTTCTCTTTCTCTTATTTTCTCCTTATTTGTGTGTGTGTGTGTGTATGCTATTCTAAAGCCAAACACAAAATATTAAATATAATTATATATACATATATGTATGTATGTATTGAATTTCAATATTTATCGGTGTAAGATTGAAATATTCATTGAATAAAGTAAATGTTTTGTACAAGATAAAAGTGATAAAGAACTTGTAATATTTCTTTGTTTCACTTGCGTTTTTTCTTTCTGTCTTTGCTTTTTTGAATTTTAATCATATTTCTATTTTTACTTTTTCCAATTTATTAGCTTCTTTTGCATTTATGTTACCTATTAGGAAAAGATTTTTTTCTTATATCAACATTTAACTTATCGTGGTATACGTTAAAGATTTCATTCAACATAGAGTTATATATAATGTATAACGTACTGGGATTGTTTTATGCTTAGTAAGCTGTTTTGTAATAAATCAAAATCTTTCAACTTATTTTTTATTATTTTATTCTATCATTATATCATTGTTTATGTAAAAATTAAAATATTATACACATATTTATTTAAAATCTTTTTTTGTTTCACTTAATATTCCTATAAAAAGCATATAAAAGTGCTGTATACAAGTATTGCAAAAACTACAATTTACTGTTATAATTATTGTGCTTGTATTCAAACTTCATAGGTAATATAAAAAGAAGATATTAATATATTTGAGCAACAAGTAGAATATAAACATGGACACATGGTAATTTTTTAAATATATAAGATAAGGTACTCAACAAAAATATCATATACCGAATATCTTTCACGGTGCTAGATATCTGGATAACTTATATCTTAGGTATACTTCATCCTTTATAACTAAATAACTTATTTAAAGATAAAAGTACTATGCACACACATATTCACGTTTTTGTTATGAACACTGTATTTGACGGAAATAAAATCGTGTCTATTAATCGAATATTTACTGCGAGTATACCAATATTTGTTTTTGGAAATGGAACTAAGTACGTATAATCGGCTAACGGATAACCCATGTCTTTCATTCTTTTCAAAAAATCCTGCAATTAATTTATATATATTATATTACATTATATATTGTTATAATTTTATGATACGTAATTAAACTAATTAAGAAAACGTCGTAAAATATCTCCCACTTACTTCAATAGTATTATTAGCACACATGGATATTGTTTCCTTGTCACCAGTGGGTAATCGTAAACATAATCGTAAGAGCGGCTTGTCATTATCTATAAAAAAAAAAAAAAACAATTAAAGAAAGCAAATATATACGCAAACTAGTTGACAAAGTCTGTTACAATATAATCAACAATGTTTACGAAAATTTATATTAAATACGTAATTTTATTATAAAAATTGTTCTATGCTGAAGAAAAAATTTATGAACATAATACATAAACATTTTTGTTTTATTCAATTTAGTATTAAATGTCATTGAATCTCAAACTTTCTTTTTCTTCAAACACATTATACTACAGCTAAATATAATGCTACACACACACACACACACACACACACACACACACACACACACCAGCAGCAGCAGAGAGAATGTTAGTATCTATATCTACTAACCTGTATCTACATCAGTTTTACCGTCTTGCATTTTGTCTACCATTTCTTCCTTCTATTTGCACAAAAATAAAAGCAATTAATTAATTCTTTTTTCATAAAAAATGATTAAAAAAATATTCACATAATTAGGATTTACCCTTTCAGGAGATTCAACCTTCTGATTTGTATTGTCGAGTCGTCTCCTTTTTTTCAGAATACATGGACTATTGCTTGAAATATTTGAATTGCTATTATTTTGACTATCCAGCTGTTTAGACGTACTGTCTGCTATAAAATAAAAAACTTAAAATTTATTAATTCAATAAACGACAAAATATTAATAATATGGAAAATCTTAAACAAGTACTGACCGTAATCTCTATCGGATGCTACATTTCTTGTACTTTTACTACATGATGCGTAATCCTAAAAAATAAAATTAACCTTATATATAATTATTAAAAGAAAATTGTACAAGTATACAGATAATAATACTCCTCTATTGGTATACAAACATTTTTTGATGTTTTTGATAATTGACTCTCTTTCACAAGTAACGAAGAAATATTATCAGATTTATGATTGATTATGTCATTAGAAGCACCTTCTGGCGATGCATGAATACTTAAAATGTCATTTAAATCGGATATCAAGCTGTCTATAGTAATGTGATTATATTTTCTTATACATTCCCCTGTTCTAGGATCTATGACTGCTAGGTACGGATAATTTATTACTTTATAAAAATCTATGTAATTCTTTCCATCTTTGGTATTTGATAATACCTATTAAAAAAGGGACATATTCGAAATAAGACAGATGAGTTCGTTTTATAATCAAAATACAACAACTATTATCAATTACTATATACCTGCCACAAAACAAAATGATCCTTCACAATTTCTTGAATTTGCTCGTTGGACCACACATCTCTGTTAAGAACTTGACAAACAAACTCCTGAGAATCCTGAACATTAACGAGTAACCAACGATTTAAAGACTTTGCGTGTTCTCTTGCATCCACAAATGTACCAAGAAATAAAATATTACTCGGAGGTCTAAATAAATCTTCCAAACGCTTTGATTTAGGTTGAGAGCTCTCTTTTACACCGGCAACTCTTAAAGTCATTTCCTCTTCTTGCCGTTCTACGAAAGAAAATGCAGTTATAAATTATCATACTATATTTTAAATCACTATATTTATAATATTTAATTGTTGTTTTTGAAATATAAAACTGTTCATTAAGCAATCTTACAATCTTAAAATTAATTAATTCCTTTTTCTTTCTTTTTTACTTATAGCTTAGTATTTTAAAAATATAAAATACTATAATGGATAATTGTAATACATACGAGTTTCAAGAGCGAAATCTCTAAATCTATCAAAAGCATTGGGCAACCTTGGAAGTGAAAACATTGGTTCAGAATCAACCAGTATTTCTTGAGTAGGTAATATAGGTGGTCGTACTTCTGGCTCAGAATCTACTGCTTGAACTTGAGGCACCTGTCCTTCTTCAAACATTAAAGTAACAGCCATTTCTACATTTCCATCTGCTAGTGATAAATATTGGCATGCTGTAGCTTCGCTTTTTCCTTAAAAAAAAAAAAAAAAAAAAAAAAAAAAAAGAAAAAAGAAAAAGAGAAAAAGAAAAGAAAAAGAAAAAACAAAAAAAAATGCGCAATTAATATATGTTTTACAATTATGACACGCAAATAATATTTTAATATATTTGGAATAACCTTAATTGTATATCATTAATAAAATGTAATACAATAGTGTCAATAAGTCAGAAAAAATGACAAATTTTTTACCAAAAGTTTATATTAATGTATTAAAAATGAATGACTAAACCATGAACATTCAAATATGCAAACTAGTGAAGTTTTTAAAAAAATGTCTAAATAGAATGTAGATGATTCTTACCAGTTATTTCCATAAATTTTTCGACAAGTTCTCGATCCATTTTAAGTTAAACCAAATTCGAGCTCACACAAAAATTAACAAAACGAACGTTATTACCTTATTGTTGATTTGTTCTTATTTCTAACTCTTTCTGTAAAACATGGAATAATATCGGATAGTATACAAACAGCTTTAACAGGGCAACCAACACGAATCCTTATACATTAAATTCAACTTTAGTAGCGCCATCTTTGAGAAAATACATTTCCTACCATTTTATCATTAAAAGACTATTTATACCAACCCTGAATATTAACATTTTTTGAAAATAGTTCGTTGATGTTTGAAAATTAACGATGTTTCCTGCACACATTATGCATTGACATGCAAATATATAAATATATATAAATACACACACGCACGCACAGTGGCGCGGACATGTAGTTACATGTACAGTCAATAAAACTAATATTACTTGTTACTTATTTTATTATTCAATTACTTATTGAATTATATTTTTTATAAGTTTGCTATATATATATATATATATATATATATATATATATATATATATATATATATATACGTATATGTATAAATATGTACATGTATATATGTATATGCGTAAGTATGTATATATGTATGTATGGATGTTGTGTGTCATAATGAAATAAGAGACAAAACAGTCTTTTCTAATCGACTATAATTATAAAATTTCTTATTTTTTAATACTTACATAAATATATTAGTACTGAAGTATACATCGAAACGCCTATATTAATATTTCATGTGTACATCCTTATTTCTAATAATTTCAGCACACCCTTGCGACGTGTAGATATGATAAATCGAAGAAATTTACTAGCAAGTTCCATGCCTCTTGTACAATAATATATAAATCTTCAGTATTTTTCGGCTTTTGTTTGTTTCTTTTTACCTATTTGCCAATATTAATCGACAGCATCTCGATTAGATTTAGATCCGTAGATTTTCTCGGCCATTTCGTTATACGAATAATACTGTCAATCAAAAATATCTTGACGATTTTAGCATAGAGAACGTTTTGAATAATTGTTCGCCCAATAGATCTATTCTTCTGGTATACTATATTATTCGGTGAATGGTAGAAATACATTTTTTTACGATATTGTAATACACCCCATATTATTTCCGTAGTCCAATGATTAAGAAGACATACCTTTCATTGTCACAGAATACCGCTTCAATAATAACTTTTACAGTCGGTTTTAGAACGTTTGAAATGCCCAAATTTTTCTCCTTTACGACATTTCATCTATAATTTATCGTTCGATAATCCAAATCGATTAAATTTTAATCCGTCGATAAAAATTACTTGGAACTATTGCTGTATTACATCCAATATAAATGTTTTTCCTTTTTCTGTGTATAGGATCGTATACGTAAGTAATGCGCGCCCAACCCCCGCCCCCCCGCCCCTGTATATATGTACTTATATATGCACTTACTATTATATACTGTATATATATACCCCTGTATATATCTACTATATATATATATATATATATATATATATATATATATATATGCACTTACTATTATATACTGTATATATGTATTTATTTGCATACACTATAGTATGAAAAATTCTTTCTTTGATTTTGATCAATATTTTAGTCGTAATATATTTAAACAATTTGTTTAAGTAGAACAGGTTACAAAAATTTCGTAAAAAGAAAAAAGAAAAAAAGAAAAGGAAAGAAAGAAAACAAGAACATTTTGTTATCTGAATTATGCCAATCTCATATTGTTTCTTTACTCTTTGGTTTTTGTTATGTTCATCAATATCACAGATCGCAAAAAGTAAAAATTCATTGATCCCTTACGTATTAATCTTTTTTAATCTTTTTATTTAAAGATATTAATCTTTTTCTTTGTTAAATAATTTTGTAATAGTACGTGTCAATGGAAAGGTTTCATTTGTATTACATTCATTTTTCCAATCATCGGTATTCAGAGAAAAAATCATAGCACCTTTGAAACCATTAGCAAGTATCCACTTTGTCTAAAAATTGAAAAGCATGATAAATTTCTTTTGGCAATGACTCATTATTGACATTACAAAATTGTATAATAAATGTTTACCTTATAATATATGCTTTCATTATTATCATATGATATCCACTCTTCGTCTCTGTAAGCGTATGGTACTTTGCTCTTATTTACAAAAACATTACTTGCTCCGTTCTTCAAGAATTGACAAATAGTCGAATAAGATACGAAGCCATTTAAACCAAGTTTACCAAATCCATTAGCCGGCGCTTGTAACTTGTGATTTAAAGGATTATCTAATTTATATGAATGACCATACGTTGGTATGCCAACGACAATTTTATATCTTGGCATCCTCTTCGTTATCCAATAATGTGCAGAAAAGTTTACATTAAGTGTGTCCAAGTATCCCGATTCCATAACATACGGGAATAAAGGAGCATTTAAATCAGTTACAGGAAAATACCAAATGTAATAATGGTAATCATATGACATAAGGTTTATAAAGTCAACGTGCCTAAAAAGATTTTATATAACTTCAATATGTAAAACTGTTAATTATTGAAGCACATTAAATAACTAAAATAATACTTTCTTTCGTCGATATGTCGACTGGTACTGGTGAAATTGCAATATTAAATAATTTTCTTAAATACATAATATGAAATATAATACTTTTACGCATTAACATTGGAGAGACTTTTATATTATTTTTATAATATAAATAAGTTAATATTATAATAATGCATATTCAAAAAAAGAAAAATGATCTCAGATAGTAATATTAAACGTCTCTCAATGTTTATATCGTTATAATTTACAATCATTGTTACAATATCAGTATGCTTACTCTGCAATTTCAGGAACACTATAGCTTTGATCTATGATAACTTGTGGAGCTGCCGCGGCTACTGATAAGATTAATTTTTCACTCCTATGATCAAATTCCTTCCTTACTTCGTGAACTAATTGTACAAAATGTATTTTCTCTTTTTCTTTAGGTTCGAACAATCCTGGAAACTCCCAATCGAGATCTAATCCGTCAAACTTAAATTTCTTTGTTACATTTAACACGGATCTTATAAATCTGAAAGAAGAAAGAATAAATAAGGAAATATTATCCATTGAGTACTATTTGAAAGAATTTATAAATAATTATAATGACATTACCGTTTTCGATTTGCATGGTTCTTAACCATTTCTGGAAACCCAGAATTAAGTTCATTACTACCGCCAATACTAATCATAACTTTTAAGTTCGAATTATTTTTCTTGAGATCAACGACATCCTCGTAAATCCTGGTATTGACACCCATGTCAACCGTACAATTTATGATACTTGCAAAACCTATAATAATGTGGGTGCAAATATGTGGATCTATTTGCGACGGAAAAAGATTCCGCACTGTATTGGAGTCTTTCGGTACCGTGTAATAGCATACAATAATTTTTCTGCGATTTATTATAAAAGAAAAAAAAACTATGTTACAACTATATACAACGATATCTAATTTATATCTCTATTATAAAAAGAGAGAAGGAGAAGAAGAAGTTAAAATTCTTACTCTGTTGAATTATTAGATTCCCATTCACGATCAATGTTTATATTTTTATTTGCATTATGATTCTCTTTCATTGATTTCGCATGCATTTGTGCTTTACCACGTAACCACCATGTACGAGCTAATGTCTTTTCTTTTTGGTTTAATTCCTCCATAGTTTGAACATAGAATATCTTCAATATCAATATACTGACCCAAGTACATAGTGTACCGATTATTAAAAATATTACGATGAAATAAAAAATCTGTGTCTTCCATTGTGACCTATTTGAAACAAATATCAACATAATTCTGAGTTTATAAAATCTTTGTACATGCGAAAAAAAAGAAGAAAGAAAAAAAGAAGAAAGAAAAAAAGAAAAAAAGGAAAAAAAGATATAATAATAAATGAAATGTTTACTTGGTAAGTAAATAAAAATGTTAACAATTATGATGGAATAAAAGTAAAAGTTAGTAAAAGTAAATAACCTTTAAAGTAATCGGATTATGAAATACAAATTTATAATATTAAAACATTAACGAGCATTAAAGTATATTAATAACTTGGAATCGTCTAAAGTAAAGATTGCATTTGCAATAACCCATGGTCAATAGTACACGGTCAATTTTTATTTATAAAATAATCAACGTTCAAGAAGCTCATAAGTGAAAGATTAATATTTATATGCATTTAAATATTGATAATGTGCATTTAACTTACTGTTGAGGATTAATTAATAATTTATACTTGATCTGAGACATAGAAATTTCTATGATCATTAAGCAATATACATATTTAAGAACCAATTGCACAAATGTAATTCCTACATTTTTGTCTAGTCATTTGTCATGTCGTATTCTATCGCACGTCGCTGCTATACCGCACCTGCGCCATCTTAGGCCTTTCCAATTAGAATGATCTTTTATTATGTTTTATATTTTATTATATTTTTTAAACGTATAAGTGAACTGGAATAGATATAAATGTATAAATATAGACGGCTTTAAAGGCGATTTGAATTCTTTACTGCATAAATAATTAACGTTTAACCAAAACGTATGATGTACATTTAAATGCGGAAATTGTCGCGCCAAAAACTGAAATGGCACAACCACCAATACATTCGCTTACGCACCGATATTAACGATAATAAATGTAAATTCAAAATCAATAACGTTAGAATTAAAATAATTGGAATCGTTTAATTTAATAATTTTTAAACATTTCTCCAAATCAAAACATATTTTCGTCGTTCCTATGATGCATCGTTATTTCTTACTTATCGTACTTATCAAAGTAGTATTAAATTGTCAAAATTATAATACAATTATCGTGGAAATTTCAAACTTTCCAAACGTACATTGGAAATTTTTTTTGGATTATAAAAAGAAGAAGAAAAAGGGGAATAATATGTGTGTGTATATATATATATATATATATATATATATATATATATATATAATAATCTGCAAGCCCATAGAAATGGAACAGTTCTGGAACAATTTCAAGTTGAAGGTATAACGGTAGTTGTAAAATCACGAAACATCGAATAGAAGAATAATTGTCGACTTTAACGCAATTATGAAGGCACGGATTATCATCGCTTTTTCTCTTGCCGTTATTCTTGTATCCTGCCAAAGGCAAGATGGTGATATGAATCGTTTAAGGGATAAATCTTTCGTAAAGAAACAGCTCGATTGTATTTTAGAAAGAAGACCGTGTGACAAAATGGGACAAAATATGAAAGGTATGTGTATTTTTTGGTCAGAGGAAAATTTGATTAAAAGGAAAAAAGAAAAGGAAGAAAAAAAGAAAAGGAAGAAAAAAAGAAAGAGAGAAAATGTTTCAAACATTAATCAATATCGTATTGTTGTTGTTGTGTTGTTGTATTGGCATTGTTACAGATTTGATTCCAATAATAGCGTATAATAATTGCCAGCGATGCAATCCACATTTAAAACAACGCTACGCAATATTGCGAAACTTCATGCTACAACATTATCCTAACGAATGGAATGCTATAATTCGACGTTATTCAAGAGGTCCGCCTATTCAAGGTTAAATCAGTATAATCCAATCATTTTGTTTTAACACGATTGTCCTTAAGCTGCTGTACAATAATAATTTTTAAAATGACTGACGATTTAAGAAAAAATAAAACTGGCATTATCCCTAGTAAATTGTCGTAATTTATTGTCAATTTCTGCTAATTGCGTCAAAAAGAAATGAAAACTATCGGTTAATCTCTCGGTAGGTCTGTTGTTTGAAAGATTATTTAAATACACACACGTTCATCATGCGACATCTCTAAAATCGATTATACACTCACTCGTGTCGAAATCACTTTCTCTTTGCACGTTTTGCGTTTCGTCAAATTCATGTCAAGTATTTATATTAACGAAGAGGAAACATCGTAATAAAGATCGGAACTATATTTGCATTGACCTCAAAATTCTTCGAGAAAATTGAAAAAGAGGACCCGAGAAGGAACTGTTGGATCTTACGATATGCAACTACTGTGAGACAATCCTCCATTAGATACGTATTATTTTCAGATTATAATCAATAAGTCCCTTCGCATATATCTACGGACGAGATGTACATTAGACTGTAAAACTATTTTTTCAACCATTCGATTCTTTTCTAGCCGATTCTTATCTCTGTTTTCTATCAATATCATTTCAATGTCGTCCGTTCGCAAACACTTTCCGACCGAAACATCCCACGTCTATGTACTCTATGTGTATACGTCGAGTTTAATAATTAATCATAAAGATAATTATTAAATATCCCATCGATATTATCGTTAAATAGCGTAGTAGTTAAGTAATATATAATCGAATATTATAATAATTGGTAATAAAGAAATATTCGTCTTCTACGTCTATGTTTGTCTAAGCTCGTCCTAACTAAAAAAAAAAAAGAGAAAAAAAAAGAGAAAAAAAAAAAAGAAAAAAAAAAAAAGACCGGCGTTAGTTTTCTTTAGACGAACGAGATAATCGCGACTAAGCGATTTCTCCTGACGTAATCAGAAGGTAATAAAGTGTGTCAATGCCCTAATACGTGCTGCATATGAATAACTTCAGATAAGATTTTAAACTGATATTGTAAACTGTTTACCTATCAAATCAATAAATTTTGTTGTTTTATTAACGTGAAAGATGGTTACGTGATTAAAAGAATGATTCGCGAGTATTATATCCTTTTCTCTCACAAGAAAGAGCCAGAAACTTATTTTGCAAAACTTATGTATAATCAAAATTGAATTTATAATATAACAATATTAAGTGAGATCGAACGAAGAATTTGAAAAGTACGTGTTTTTTCTCTGTCCCCCGTTGCCTCATACTTCGCATCGCGTTGCACACCCACGTCGTATTAAGCATCCTCCATCGCGAACGCGAATACCCCTCCAGTGATGATTGGTCAGCTATATAAAAGGTGACTTAACATGAATGCCATTTGATTATCCAACTTTTCCCGAGGCAGACAGATATATATATATATATATCGGTATACTCATTAAAAACTTTCCCTTTGCGAGAGGTAAACCAATCGCTACTTCTTCTTTCATATTCTCCGTTTATCCTTCTTCGACGGTTCTTTTATCTTATTTTAGAGGAAAGTGAAACTTTCGACCTAAATTATTTTCCATAAGACAAGAATTGCCGTGCAAAATGACAAAGTATCTGATAATTTTGGCATTGGTGACAGTCGTTCTTGGAGTTGAAAAATATTCTACCAAGTACGATGACGTTGACGTGGATAAAATTCTTCGAAACGATCGCGTTCTTACCAATTATATTCGGTGCATGCTCGACGAGGGTTCCTGCACCGCGGAAGGTCGCGAATTGAAAAGTAAGTATATACCTCCTATATGCATACGCGTCTATTATCTCTTCATTCGGTACGCATAGATATAATAAATAGTTATATTGAATAATTGAAAGATTTATGGTTTAGACTTTACTATTTCCTTCCCCATCCAACCCCCTATGTCCACCGGCCGATATTCTCCGGCGACGATTGCATAAGACGACGCGCTTTTCGATCAACTCTTTTAACTCTTTACGCTCTTCTCTTTTGAATCTTTTACACGCATATTATGTGCACTAATTTGAAATATGCGTTTGTCGGTAATAATAAACAAAAAAAAATTTAACGTTTCATATGAATCTATTGCATAATATATATGTATATGCGTTTGAAGTAAAAATATAAAGAAAATTGAAGCTAAAATAAAGAATGAAGTAGTTATTTTTTGTCGTGTAAAAATATTTTTCATAAGAACTGCGAATTATTATTAAACATAATCCGTAATCGTTATTGATATTATCGCCGAAATTGTAGGAAACAATTTAATCAGATTTTTAATGTTGTTCCTTTACACAGAAATTCTACCAGACGCTCTTGCTACAGATTGTATTAAATGCAACGAGAGGCAAAAGGTTACAGCTGAAAAAGTTATTAATCATCTTAAGACAAAAAGATCGAAAGATTGGGATCGCCTGATCACTAAATACGATCCACAGGGTGAATATAAGCAGCGCTTTGAAAATTTGCACAACAGCAAGAAGATTTAAGTAAGAAATACGTCGGGTGAGACAGTAAGAAGAATGATTACGAGATATTCCTAAGAGATAATAATAGCGAAAGTAATCATTTAGTAGTAATAAAATATATATATATATATATATATATATATATATATATATATATATATATATATATATATTATACAGATTCAAGACTGAAATCGATGATTTTTCGATATGTCACTTTCTTTAAAAGAAATTTTTCTCCCTCCCCCCACCCCTATGTTTGTTCTCAAATGGTACGCGTCTAATGAATTTGATGAAGGTTTTATTGACATTGGTCAATTCAAAATTGACTTTATCTCATTTATGTTTCGAAGGAATCGCGATCAAACAAATCAAAATTAATATATTCTTTCATTTTTCAAACTATACGACACGTAAATAAAAACTATTTTCTCTCTTATACATGTACTCTTATACATGAGTCTTTTATATTCCGTTTATTATGAAACAAGTTTTTTTTTTTTTTTTGTAATCCAGAAAAAATATTTAAAAATGTCTGTGAAAATAAGACTACGCTTCCGTTCATTCCACGCGTCTCTTTTTAACTAAAGATCCCAACTGTAAAATAAAATAAAATGTTTCAATAACTTGATTGACAAATTCTTTACTCAATTATGCATGTATAATTACATTTCTGAACTTACAAGATCCGAAATTGCTGGTAAATTATTAGTCTGGTCTGTGACGTTGCCCTCTTGTTCACGATTTTCTTTCGGTGGCAAGACTTTCTTCTTATTTCGATGTTGTGGGAATGTGGGCATAAGTTTTGGGTCGCAGGCTGTTGAGTAAATAAACATGAAATTTCTGTACCGATACGCGACGAGGGTGCGATAATTGTAATATCATATACACGCACGCACGCACGCGCGCAATAAATTTTTTATATATATATATATATATATATATATATATATATATATATATGTATGTATGTATGTATGTATAGTGTACTAACGTAGAGGTGGCTCTCTAAAGTAACTACTTTGTAAACACTCCTCTGCGGTTGCACGTTTCTTCGGATCGTACATGAATAAAAAGTTTAATAATCTCAAACCAACTGCACTTAACCAAGGGAATTTTTGTTTTAAATTATTATACGGTTGTTGCTTAAGTGTGAAATTTTGTAATGCTGGTAAAGAATTGAATTCTGGCCAAATAGCCTCGCTGGGTGTACCCAATAAATCAACTATTAGTTCCAATTGTTGAATTTCTGAACGTCCAGGTAAAAGAGGTCTATGATCCAATAGTTCTCCTAACATAAAAATAACATACAATATGATAAATCTAGATGGTTCGCGACGTATATAAATATATATAGGAGATATATTAAGCGACATAGGTTATTTCTTATTCACCTAATATACATCCAGCTGCCCACATATCGACAGAAGTTGTTTGTGTTTTTGCTTGTAATAACAATTCTGGTGCTCTATACCACAGTGTCACTACTCTGGGAGTCATCGGTTTTAAAGGCAATCCAAACCATCTGGCAAGTCCAAAATCAGCTATTTTGACGCATCCTTTATCGGTCATGAGTAAATTAGAAACCTTCAAGTCTCTGTGCACGATAAAATTATGATGCAAGTATCGCAATCCTTTCAACACTTGTAAAACGATGCATTTGACTTGGCTTTCAGAAAATGGCGCCTGCATATTATCCAATAAACTTGCTAAATCTTGCTCGCAATACTCCATTGCAAGGAATATACTTTCTAAACTCCTTCCGACTACGACCTCTCTCAAATGGACAATATTTTCATGACGGCACGATAAAAGGACCGAAATTTCTCTAAGTCCGCTTACTGGCAATCCATCCTTTTCATGCTCCATCCTAACCTTCTTAAGGGCTACAACTTTATCATTTTTTGTGTCTCTAGCTCGGTACACAATCCCATATGTACCCTCGCCAATGCGGTTCAACTTTTCAAACTCTGATACGAATCGACATTTGCCAAGCTGTTAAAAGTAATATTATAGGATTACTTATTTGTACATAAGTAAGTATTAATAAACGAAATTTAAACGTAACGTTTAAGATAGATAAAAACAAATTATAAAATTTCTAATAATACGAATAATTACAATATCTTGATCGGGAATTTCCATCGGTTTTCCAGTTAAAAATGAGGTTAAAACACCCTTCCTTGTAATCGGCGCCGATGGATCCGGTCCTGCTTCGGAGGCTGCTTTTTTGTCGGTATCATTATTTTCTACCGATTTCTTTTCTAAAGCCTCGTCTAAAATATAACGATGATAAACATTTTAAGGGCTTCTTTGTTCTTAGATATATATATATATATATATATATATATATATATATATATATATATATACACATATATATATATATGTATGTATATATATATATATATATGTGTATATATATATATCATTGATGATAGAATATAACGAACATTATTCGCACATACATGAACACTGAATACATCAATGATGTATGAATAAGTAAACATTTTATTATACCTTCGAAGCCTGAAAAAAAGGATGTCTCAAAATTCATAATTCCTTGATATTTATACTCCTCACTCTTTGTAAGCGTTCGTTCGGAACTTAACCTCTTGTACTGGTATTTAGTACACAACGTTACAGTATTTAGACATACCTTTTGTCATATTTGCTGCTGTATATATGGGTTATAATTTGTTTAATTAAATTTGTCCTTTATTTGAATATTTACGCATCAATAAACAAAAGTAGAATTTAATTAAACCGACGTTTAACAGTTTTACCGATAAGTTTGTATCGATGCGTGAATTATTCCTAGGGTCAGATCGATGCCATAAGTCTCTTGCCAACGTTACAGAAATACAATTATTACTTCTTTTTTTTTTTTAATCTGACAAACAACAATGAACAAATACGACGAGTTCGACGTTAATGAATGTAAAATAAGGGCCTTATAAAATGATGAATGCAATTAATTATCAACTTAATATCAACTTTGTGGACGAGTGAAAATGGACGAGAGAATATTACATTTACTTTGTTTTATTAAAGTTGGCAACGATTTGGCGCCAGTGCGCATATCTTTCGAGCTTTCGCGCTACTACGAGAGAGTACACGGAGCAGTGGTTCTTATCCATCTGTCGAATAATGTCATATTATTAAACTGCTTATTTATTTCCTTTATAAAATATGACTATTGGTATCGTGCAAGAAAATAATAAATATTAAAATAATTGCCGACATTGACGAGAGTTACGAACGGATTAATAATAAAGTTATTAATAATAATGACAATAACGGTGATGAGAAATTGAATGAAATTATGGAAACGTCCTGTGGCAATATTACACATGATCAATTCAGCAGAGATGGTGGCTCTGAAAAAGATTCAAGAGATATTAATCCTAATAAGGACATGGCTAATTGTGATAATGTTGGGGATGACTTTGAGAATGCCTTTGATCAAAATACTGTAGTTAAAGAGAAAGATTTCTTAGAGAGTAACGATCAAATTAAAAGAGTAAGACCATCGTATTCAGGCATCATAGACAATGATACTGAGGACAATGATATTGCTATTTCTTCATCATTCAGAAGCAGGATAAATGTGATAGAAGATGATTCTGAATCCGTTGTTTCCAATGGAAGTATAGATAGAGGCAATATTAAAAGGAAAAAAAATGAGACAATGGCATTGGATAATGATTCTATAGATGGATACCAGTATACAATAGAGAAAGAGAAAGAGGGAAGTGTAAGTTCATTCCTAGCATTTTACATTTGGAGTAATAATAAATTATATCAATTATTAAATTTATTGTAAATTTATCTAGTTGAAAAAGGCAGCGAAAAGGTTTGAGACACTGGTTGATAGCGATTCAGATGAAGATGAAATTCAATTGTCGATGCTTAAAAACGTGACAAAGTCAACGGATAGTAAGAAGGAAAGCAATAGGAAAGTGAGTCACTTTTTTTTCTTACTTACAAGATATAATTCTAGTTATCTATTGCATATCTATTATAAATTGCTTATAAAATTATTATTCACAGACTTCTATCAGAGCCTGCAAGGAAGAAGCCATGAAACAAATTCACAGCGAAACCCAAAGATTAATTAGAGAAACTGCAATATCTTTACCGTATCATAGGCCAAAATTACGAACGTTACAGGAATTTTTAAATAGGAAAAAAGTATCTGTAACGCTTCCAGACGCACCTACGACGGCTTCTAAACTGAAGATGTCTTACGCTATTGTAAGGTAATATTCTTCTGCGTTATCTTAGTATATGTGACATATGTAACATTTCGAATGTAAGAAATATAAAATACAAAAATATTATATATACTTTTAAAGTTATATATCAATCAGAGTTCTTTTTCTTCTACATAGCAAGGTACTTGAAGATAAAGAAAAAGAAGCAGAAGAATTTTACAAATCTTCCGACTCGGAGGAAGATGCGGAGGAATTAGCAATGCGTATTTCTGAACCTATTATCAAAGATGCAGCTACGTCTTACGTTACGAACGAAACAACACCTTTCGGCGATATTAATTGTCTTCCCGATGAAAATATTGAAAAGGTAATGGTCAATGATGAAGGTGAAGGCAATGCTCAAGTTCTTCCCATTAATAAAGATATTTCCCAATGTAAATCGATTATAACCGATACTTCAGAAAGATTATCTAATGAAAATATTGAGTTATTAGATAGGTGCAATTTTCATTGCTTATCTACATTGAATGTAAGCGATGAAGTAGGAAAAACTGATGCAGATTTATCAACATATATTGATGACTATGCTGTGACAAATGCCAAAAATGATCTGAGACATCATGATCATGATAAAAATGATGAAATAATTGTACAAGAGATAATAGATAAGTTGCTCGAATTAGTGAACTGTAAAGTTGAACATTGTGACAAAGATAAATTGAAAAAGAATATTCTATTGGAAAAGACTACGAGTGAAATATGTTTGGAGGAAAAAGAGTATAAAGTACTAACGGAAGCTATTGATAATAATCTATCGTTAGATAAAAATGACAATGATAAACTGCATGCTCGAGCTAGCGGCGATGATCATGATCTAGCTACCTCCGTTTTTGGAAATACCACTGAAAAAACAGTGGAACATATAGAAAGTTTACCATTACCGAGTTTCTTTTGCAAAGAAGAAAAGCGCATAAAAAGACAATCATTGTCCGATACGAGGATAAATATAGAGCCGCGATTAAAAGGCTCCCCGGGTATGATAATTGATTTATCGTGCGACATGAAATCGAATAAGAAAGGTGTAGAAAATTTAATAAATAGATTTCTTTCCAAGCATACTGCTAGTGATAAAGACGTAGAGGAAACAGCCGAGATAAATGTTGTTCACTTGGAAAATACCGCTGATGGATTAAAGACAGTTAAACGTACACTTTTTTATAAAAAGCCTGTTATCGAAAAAGAAGATCCAGAATTAGATAAGCCCGGAGCTAAATTGAAACGTTTGAAGGAAGATTTGAAGTTTAAAATGGCCATGAAGCGTAACGAAGAATGGAAACAAAAGGAACAAGAGTTAAGAGATAATGAATTAGAAATGGACGATATAAACGTACACGGTATAGATACCGAGGAAAAACTACAAGACGAATCTAGCGGAAGTGGAGAAGAAAGTGAACCGGAAGAGAACGATATTCCTATGGTAGATAAGAAGAGGTCTTTGTGTGAATTTGCAGATGATGAAGCTGAGGAAAGTGAGAATGAGGAGGAGCAGGAGGAGCAGGAGGAGCAGGAGGAGGAGGAGCAGGAGGAGGAGGAGGAGGAGGAGGAGGAGGAGGAGGAGGAGGAGGAGGAGGAGGAGGAGGAGGAGGAGGAGGACGACAACGACGAAGAAAAATGTGCAAAGAATCGTATATACGAAAATGATGATGATTCTAACGACGATTGCATCAGAATTACAAAGAAATGGAAACCAAAGAGAATTATAAAAGCGTTCGAAGATGATTCTAATTTGTCGCCATTAAAAACTACAACAGACAGGATTAACGAAGCGAAAACAAGTGTTTTTGAAAGGACCACAACGAATGTAGATTTATTTGAAACAAATAATTGTCCAATCGACTGGAACAGCGATGAAGAAAATGATGTTTCGATTCTTCAAAAAAATAATCAGCCTGATTTAACGCAAATGTGTAAGACGCCATCGATTAAAACGAACGTTCTTGATTTTGTGTCTCCAATTACGCAACTAACAATATTGCATGCAAGCTCGAATTCTAGTAGAAAGAATTCAGCCAAGAAGGACGAATTCACATTTGTCAATAGTACCGAGTCATTTTCTCAAACACATATGCCATTCAATGCAACATGTAAAAGTCGTTATGATATTGATAAAAAATTGAAACCACAAAAGAAACTTTTCGATGATTATAATGACGTAGCGAACGACGAAGATCTCATGCAATTATGTTCAGGAGAGTTTCCCTCGACACAAATGACCGTTTTAAATCCGACATCATCTGAGGAAAAATCTTCATTGACGACTTCATTGACATTGAATGTATGTCCCGTAGACGTAGAAAAATCAGATAAAGATACATCATTTGAAAAGGAAACTTCTCAGGACGTGAAACTTTATTTGGACGAAAGTTCTGCTTCGCCTCGAGAAAATATGAAAAATATCAATGGGTCGACGTGGAATAAGTTATCGGCTGTCTTCTCTTCCGACAACGAAGATGACCCCGATAAAGATGGAGATAAAGTGAAAATAACGAGGAAACGACGTACGAAAAAATTACAATTATCCGACGACGACGACGACGACGACGAAAACGATAGTCAACAGTGTGATTTACGATCGGATCAGGAAAAGGTAGACGATTATGTCGATTATGATTCCGAAGAAAATGAAATTATTGTTTCGAAAAAGAGCAAGAATAATGTTGCCGCTGAATTTTTCGAAGAAGAAGCCGAGTTGAGCGATAGCGATTGGGATTCGGCAGACGAAGATGAGAAAGATTTAGACAAATTGGAATTCGAGGAAGGAGATGAGGACGAAATAGATGAAAATAAAGTGCGCAATCAATTAGAGAAAATTCATATGAGACAAATATTGGATCAGGATCAAAGAGAAGTGAGAATGTTGCAAGAATTATTATTCGAAGATGGTGATTTGCATACGGAGGGTAATGGGCGAGAGCGAAAGTTCAAGTGGAAAAATATAGGTATTCCGAGATATATCTAATGGAAACGAGTTCTGTTGAGGGCATTTCGTAAACTTAATTGCGAATGTTTTTTAACTTAGATAAACTCGGAGAGAATGGCGAGGCTTCTCGTATGGACGACGATACAGACGCTGGACTAGATTTACAAGATAACGAAAATGAATTGGAATGGTGTAAACTTAGACACGAAAGAGACAAGTTTCTCGAGGAGAAAAAGGTAAGGAATTTAACATATAAAAATGTGAACTCAACGAATTCTCAAGGGAGCGGATCGCATTCACAGAGAGCAGTAGACGAAGAAATCGAGGAGGATTTAGGGAAAAGTAAAATCTTCAAATTTGGCGTGAAATTGCTGAAAAAACTCGAATCCGGACAGTCCGAGAAACATGATTCTTCGGGAAACGATAATGAGCCCATGATAGAACCGATAATGCCGCGCAATTTATTCGATTTATTGAATGCGCCCGCATTGGGAGGAAGAAAAGGTGCGATTAAAGTAAGTAACAATTAAAACACACCTATACAAGTAATATCGTATGTATTATAAAGGACAATATGTTTACAAATTATATTATTTATATTTTTGACGGTTTCAGACCATTATGAAGAAACGTTCGTTCTTATCGCGGGGAGAAGAAGAATTAGATCGTATCGCTAAGAGAGTACGATTGAATGATACGATCAATTTGGCGCCAGCGAATACGAAAAACTTTTTATTCGCGCATGTAACTCCGCCCGTAAAGAAAGTCGATGACGAAGAAAACGAAAATATCCACGAAGAGGATGAAAACGAGTCGAATGACAAAACGTTCCGGCGTAGAAAGAGGAAGGCAACGCCGTCGTCGAGTACGACGCCAAAAACAACAAAAAGAGTTAACCAAGAACGAACGGATACGAAAGGAAAGAAAACACTTTGATATACCCACACACGTGCCGTTACTTGGAGAAAAAAAAAAGAAAAAGAAAATTGTAAATATCGATATTATAATAAGTAATCACGTAATATACATTGAAATATAATACTTTTTCAATATATTTACATACGTATGCGTCGTATGATTGACATTAGTTTCCTTTTTTTGCACAAAGAACAAAGGAAAAGACCGTCGATCGGAAAGGGGTAGGGGGAAAAAAAAAAGAAAAAAGAAAGAAAGAAAAAAAAGAAGACAAGAAAAAAAAAGAGAGCGTACTGGCAGTAACGAGAGCCGTAGTACATTTGTTCGATACCAACTCTCATTCCGGTTCATTCGATATCGTCGTCCGAGGATAGCGCCGTAGGTACTAGGCAGGCAGGTAGGTAGGTATCTCTCACGAGTGCGAGCGTGAGTGGGCGCGCGCGCGCTCGCGTTCGCGTTATACACCGGTATTGGAAAATAATCCGAACAATACGGCACGGAGCGTATGTTTAATGTAACTCTATCCAATAATGCACGTCCTGGCCTAGGGCAACCGAGTGCCCCTCGTGCACGCTCGGCAAACACGACACGAAAGGTAGGGCTGAGGTGGGCACACAACCACGCGTTATGACCTGACTCATCCACAAGAACATTCCATTTATTACTTACATTTTAATCGCATGACTCCGTGAGAGACGAGCTTTTTCGCCAAATTTCTTCTAATTTTTTTCTAAATCTATCTCAAGACGGTCGTTCTTCGTGACGTTATTCGCGGCGTCCTCCTAACCCCGATCGTCATTTCAGAACGCTTCGATGAGCTCGTATTTTTACGATACACTAACACTCTCAAAGCTAAACGATATCGAGATAAGAATAAAAAAGATGGATGGATAAACAGCGGATGTTCTTCTCTGCGTCGTAACAGATCGTCGTAAACCACAAAGTAATAGACAGACGGTTCCTCATTTAAGCTTTCTCCTGCTTTGCGCAAAGAGAAGGAGAGCGACCGAGCGAGCGAGCGTGCGAGAGAGAGAGAGAGAGAGAGAGAGAGAGAGAGAAAGAGAGGATGAGAAAAGAGGGTCGGAAAGGGACGGGAGGAAAAGACTCGAGAGCGCTCAGGACTGCGGTGGAAACGGGGAATGAGGGTGGTTTGTTGCGTAAGCCGATTAGAGCATCACGGCAGTCACTCCTAGTCCGTGTAGGCAGGAGGAAGGAGATGCGTGGGTGGTGTACGAGCAGACCACGTTGATGCTCCGCGAAAGGTGGATTGGGAGGTTGAGCAGCGTGCAAGCCGAACAGTCAGGCAGAGACACATTAAAATCGCATAAAATATGCAGACGCATCCCTCGCTCTTTTCCACCACCGTTCCCCCCGCCCCCCCCCCCCCCCCCCTCCAATCGTACGTCCCATAGCATAGTACCCATGTTCCCGAACTGCTTCTACGAAAGCACTCGCTTACATCCGCATTTCGCGTATGCGAAAAGCTTACTCCAACCAATCTCCTTTACCCTCTCCTCCAACCCCTTTATCCTTTCTTTTTCATCATTCTTTTTCTCTTCAAGACGCACACCACGTCCTTCCCCCAGGCCCAAGAATAACGTTTATTCGCATTATTATGGAAAATTGTCCATCCTCTTAACGATCGTACGACAATGATTAAACGATTAAACTTTTAGCATTTACGTGCATATATTGCTCTCTTCATTGTCAAAAAGTGACAAATAAAAAACGATCGATACTTTTGTTTCAACGTATCGAAAGACCATAGGAATTTCACGAGACGCATCGAACAAAATAAATTAGATACGTCGCGGCGTATTATTAGTCCACATTATTATTATGATGTGTCGTTATCGATGTTATATAGCCGGTTGTGCGCCGCCCGATATTGAATGAACGCGCGTCGTTTGATTTAATTCGACGCGCGATAGTAAATCGCCTATCGGCAACTTGTTTGTCGTTGACGCTTACTTTAAAATAAAAAAGAATAAAAAAGCAAAAAAGTACTTTTAAATATTTCCCGTACATTACGTTTTATGCTCGCACTCTCGGAACACGCCGAACATTCTGCGGAGATTAGCCGAAGCAGCGCGCAACACGTAGGAAAACGTTTTACGTCGTATCAAATAATTATTGGAAATCCGTATCGATTGACCTCCATCCTCGCGGCCCAATACGCACATTTTACATACACATACATTGGGCATATTAGTTCGAATAATATTTGCGGATAATAATGGACTATTGTACCACCTGTTTTCGTTCGTACGCCGGAATGATTACGCGAGATAAGCTATATACGCCGATGCCGAATTAATCCGACCGAATCAATGTCTGAACGTTTCGACCGGTAGCTTTTTTCTCTCTCTTTTTGCTTTTTTTTCTTTTTTTCTTTTTTTTCTTTTTTTTTCTCTTTTTTCAATCTCACTTTATTGTCCTTCATAATTGTCAGATTAATTCTAATTAATACTAATCAATTAAATTCTAAACGCGCGTCGGGCACTAACAATCATCCACGCTCGAACAAATCCATTTCTTTTTCTTTTCGCTATTCCTCTGATAATAATTGTCAATGATTGCGTCGATTGTCGAGCTGTCGAGCTATTCTTCGAGCGAGGAGGGTGTGGGAACGTCTTGAGTGCATCTCAACAGCCTCTCGTCCAATTACAGCGTGATTGTCCGACCTTCGTAGATCCCACAGGGGTGCGGATTAACTAACGGAATCGACTGATCTTCGTGCACGTATAGCTTCACACGCGAGCACGCGACCTTCACGGACGAGTGACATATATGAGCCGATATTAACGTAGGCCCATCATAAGCGAGGAATTATTTATAAAGATTAACCGGCCACGGGCTCGATATACTTATAATTAAGAGGATCAACGGATAAGGCATCCAAATGTCGCCTCGGGAAAGAAATTTGGAAAATAATTAAGGATAAATACCCATCTTCTATATATACAGTTATATCATTTTGGTATACCTATCGAAAGGATAAAGCGCGAGTTCGTAAATGCCTATCCGTATAAAGAAAAATAATCGATCGAGCAAGAAAGGTAGGTAGAGTATGAGAGGAGGTGGCAGACACGAAGCGTAGCGACAGCGTGAGAGAACAACGACGTGGAACGTTGCGTTATGTGGGGACCCGGGTATACAATTAAAGGTATCGAATGCAACCGTATAATTGCGCACCTTATCTTACGGTTCAAGCACGACCCCTCAATCTCTTTTGCTCTCTCTCTCTCTCACTCTCTCTCTCTCTCTCTCTCTCTCTCTCTCTCTCTCACACACACACACACATACACACACACACACGCGCACACGCACGCGCACATATACGCACTCGCTCGTTTTCTCTTTATTCTCTTTTCGCTGCGCGAAGAACCGTTCCAGTTTATTTTTCCAGGTAATGCTTGATCTGAAATTCATGAAATATCATGTATCATAGCTTATGCGAATGGGTTCAATTTATATTTCCAATAAAGATGGAATTTTCCGTTTGTAGCCCAACGCGTATCAGGCTGACAAGCGGAAAGAAAAGTATTATTTAAACCCGTAGTCCGTAGGATTTCGTAAACATTTCGATGAAATATTAGACGAGAAAACGAACCCAGCTCTTACAGCTGGTAGGCAGCGTCTGGCCGCGTCTACCCAAGTCTACCCGTTTCGCGAGGGGCGTCGGGCGTTTAAACGAGCACGCGCCCGAACACGAAAGAGGGGAGGATAAGCTAACCGACCAATAGGAATAAAGATAGCAGTTAGCTCCCGGGCGGAGCATAGGGATATACGAGACGTGGCACGAGCGTCCTTCTGTCAAACGGCGTCCGATCGCCGAGGTAGAGGGTCGTGTCGTTCTCATTTAAATAGGTGGACTTTACGAAAAAAGATCGACAGGTTGCCGAGACAGATAATTTGTTCGATCGTCGGTGGGATAAGAAATTTTTGGAAATAATGGAGAAAACGGAGCTGCTCGAATCACGAAGGAGAAGCGCGTCGTGAAAATTCATCAAGGACAAAAACGAGTACATACGAGTAAATACGATAAAAGAACAGAGAAGGGGGCAGGCAGAGAGAGAGAGAGAGAGAGAGAGAGAGAGACAGAGAGAGGGAGAGGGAGAGGGAGAGAAAGAGAGAATCTTGCGAAGGAAAAGGAAAAGCGCATTTTTAAAATGCTACACAGTACTTTGCCTCGAGCGTTTCTCGCTCCTGGGCTCAACTATTTTGGTTATTACGGGGAAGAAATTCACCATCCGTATGCGGGACCAGGAACGAGCTGGCACATTCCAACGGATAACATAGCGAGTACGTACGGTAGAATTGCCGAACAGCATCAGACTGTACTCCGCGGTTGGGAATCTTCGAGACCGTCCACACCTTGCCCATTGGATTTGTCCCTAAAAGCACCGGCTACGCCCAGCACACCAAGGACCATCGAAGATGCTATCGAGGTAGACGACGAGGAAGATAGGAGGATTCGCGAAGAGGCCCAAAGACGAGCGGAAAACCAAAGATATCGAACGGACAGCGAGAGCGTGGATCTACTGTTGATCGAGGACACCGAGGCCGAGCCTCAGCGTAGCTCGTCCGCTCACAGCCAGCGCAGTTACGACAGACATTTGTCGGTAAAAGAAAGTGGCTTGCACGTTCAGGAAGTATTCGAAAAGGCTCGCTTTCCAGACGAGACCAATCGTGGATTGCCACCTCCTTATCCGAGCAATGACGCGATCCAAAAGTATCACCAATTACAAAATCAAAAGCTATTACTAAACAGTCCGACTCGACTGCAATCCATCCAATCTTATCATCAGCAGCTTCTATTGACTCCACAACATCATCACTTTCAAAGTATACATGCACCTATGACCCCACCGAGCACACCCTCACCACCGCAATGTCCAAGAAGGAAGACCAGAGAGGACGACGTCTCCTCGCCTTCGAATTCTATGGGCAACGTTAACGTTACGCCCCGACAAAACCTATTATCCGACAAGCCTACTCCAAGACCAAAGAAGAAGCACGCGAGAAGATTGAAATTCGACGAGGATACGAGCAGTCCTGTTTCCGGAACGGTAATATTAGGACCGGACGAGGCAGTGGTTACCGGCGACATTGATCCAGCCTTCAATATCGTCGAAGTCACCGAAGAGGCACGAGCCGAACTGGCCAAGATAGAAAATCGACTGGGACCGTATCAGTGCAAGCTCTGCCGGCAACTCCACGAGGATGCCTTTCAATTGGCCCAACACAGATGCTCCAGAATAGCTCATGTCGAGTACAAGTGTCCAGAGTGCGACAAGAGGTTCTCTTGTCCGGCTAATCTTGCTTCCCATCGGCGTTGGCACAAGCCGAGATTACCGAACGGAGAATCAGTCGCTGGTACTTCGAATTCATCCATGGCCAGCACCATGACCACCGAGATACCTTGCACCAGATGCGACGCCAAGTTTAATCGACAGGCTGCTTTGAGAAAGCACATGGTCAATCAACATCCGGAGAACGTTCTTAATGGCAACGGCAACGGCAACGGCAATGGCAACGGCAACGGCAACGGCAACGGCAACGGTAACGGCAACGGCAACGGCAACGGCAACGGCAACGGCGACAGCAATAGCAACAGCAACAGCAACAGCAATAACAACAGCAACAGCAAGAACATCAAGCTCGATGATGCAGAAGGTACATCGAAATTGGACAGTAGCCAGCTCGGTGTACACACTCTTTCGAGCAATGTGATGCCCTGACACCAGTTTCCTGCTCGACCCCTACCTCGACGGCCCGGATTTTATTGGAGATACGGCCTTGATTTGTAAGACTCCTACTACTTCGCACTATTACTTTGTACTAATTCGTAGTAGTAGAACCTTCGTTCTACTACTTGATACTACTTAACACACCTCAAAAAGATTTCAGCTTTTAGGTTATCGGAAGATTTTCGAATATGTGAGTACACAATCAAAATTCTCCTACTCGATCTATCAGTTCATTATTATTTTACGTTTAATGGGCGGTTTATAGATAAGGATTGAAATATATACTAAGTAGAAAAGGGAAAAGAAGAAAGAAAAGATTGAAAAAAAGAAAAAAAAAAGAAAAAACGAAAAAAAAGCAAAAAAAAAGAAACGAGAAAAAAAAGAAAACGAGGAAAAACAAAGGAAGGAAAGGAAAGGAAAGAAAAGAAAAGAAAAGGAAGAAATCGCGAAGAGAGCGATCCCTTGGATTCGAACGGAGGGATAAACGACGTTCGTTGTTATTTCACAGGCAGAAAAAAGTATTATTTTACTAGATAAGTGTGCGCTGGTATTGTCAGAAAAAAAGGAAAAAAAGAAAAAAGAAAAAAAGAAAGCGTAAGGAGTCGGAAAATATAAGACGGGCGCAATGAACGTGTCGGCTTGAGTTTGTAAATTTCTGTAAAAGTGGGAATTGATTCTGGGCGGATTTTGTTCGATGTAAATGTGTAGATAGTGACGGTAGGTCAGGTTGTAGGGTAGGGTGTACATAGGCGCGAGGAGGAAGCGTATCAAGCGTCAAGATCTCGATTCGTGTTGAGCGTAAAATTCTTCGCTCGCTTCGGTCTGGTTACTGGATAATATTCAATCGCACGTATTAGCGTTAAAGTACTCGTTTTAAGATATCCAATAATATATATATATATATATATATATATATATATATATATATATATATATCCACCGGTCCAGGGGATACGATCGACGTATCACTGTCATACAGCTAAATATCAAAGATAGTTAAGGTTAAATCAAATGACGTCTAGTCACGAGAATCTCCAACGGTACTCTAGTCGTGCTTCGTTTTACAAGCTTACCGTTAAGTACATATTATAAAATGTATTATATTTAGGTGGACGCGATTTTTCGAAACGGTATTTACGGATACGATTCTCAAGTGTCAAGTGTTCTCCCTAGGAGCATTATTACTGATTGGATACGCGTTTCTGATTGAACATTTTTAACTCCTTTTAACCCTTTCGCTCCGAAGAGCACGTGTAACGTAACGTGTTTTTAAATTATTCGCCTTTTCCTTCGCAAAAAATTAAATATTAATTATCTCTCTTTTTATTTTTCACATTTTTGCAATATCGTCGCTCCCTGTAATTAAATTAAAATGACATTATATTCTTATGCATAGATCGAAAATATAATATTTCCAACGGAATATAATTGCCTGTGTAAAATAAATTTGACGTTATTTTCTAAAGAGTAATTTTGGATTGTATAGAAAAAAAAAAAGAAAAAAAAAGAAAATAAACTTCATTAAAAAAGTTTTTGATAGAAGGAAACATTATCGTTTCGTTCGTAATCGATTATTGGCGTCCGTAGATGCTATATGTGTATATCAGTGTCGAGTCGTCGGCGTATCATACGGCGTACCTACAGCGTAAATACAAGTTACAGCGATAACATTATCAGAAAAAGCGTGCCAATGCGAAAGGGTTAAGTGTGAACGAGCCAAGTTGCTAACTGAATATTTGAAACGACAATGTGAAAACGACAAAGATGCGAATTTTTTGTAATTGATATTACGAGGATATTACGAGTTGGATTTGCGCGATAGCAAAATTTCGTATTTTATAGATTTTAGTGTAACGCAGAAGCTCTGCATTCGTGATACTCGTAACGCACACATTGAAAGAAAAATGTTCCATCGTTAACTTTTCATTTTATCTTGCGTTATATTCTTCGTTCTACTACCATTTAGAATGGAAGAGTATTTTATAGTGAAAATAATATATGTAAATGTCGTGTTACCTCGACAGTCTTATAATAAAAATTTCATTCTCGATAGAAGAGAGATCTTTCGAATGCCAAGATATGAAATTATAAAGGAACGTTGATAGAAACGTTAAACGTTTAGCAAACATATTTGAGTTAAGCGACAAAGTGGGAATCGCACAACTACGTACAGCTGCAGATCAAAATGCACGTCCGCATTTTTATCCGCGGATGTACATGAATCATCTATCTGTGCATCTATTTGTATTACGTGCTTAAAAGTTTAAACGAAGTATTTAAACTTTTTCAAGACCGATCGATGGATTCCTCTTTTTAAAAAATCAAAGTAAGAATCAAAGCGAATGCGAGATGAATGTAATTATTGTATAAGTAAATATCATCGTCGTAATTGTAAGAAATATTTATAAGAACAAATGAAGAAAGGAAGAGAAGGGAATCTAATCACCTGTGTAACAGCTTAAAATAGGGCTTATAATTACACAAGAAAGTGACCATTTTTTTGTTTTCTTTTTTGTTCTTTCTCCTTTTTTTGTTTCTGTTTTTCTTTTGTTTTGTTTTTTTTCTTCGGGAAGAATGCAATTTTAATTTACGTTTTCGTAATATAAGCTCGTTTGATTAAAGCCATTAAAGTCTTTTATGAAAGACCGCGATCTAGTCTCTGCGTTACCGCTTGCAATACGAATAAGCATTTTTATTGCTACCCACAAAAGGAAGAAATTTAGTCACTACATAATTGCATGCGAATCCAAATGAATGACGAATAAAACTATTGTACGTACGTACGCGATGTATGTATAAATGTATAATAACACAATTATTTATGTGTATCTCGCTTTAGCTATATTCTAACGATAGGACGCGGATAATAAGTAACTTGAGAGAGAATAAATCTCCTGCAAGCATTGATCATGTAGGTACATATATTAATTGTGTATATATATATATATATATATATATATATATATATATATATATATATAAGGTTTTGGTTTTCTTAAATATACGATACAGAGATTAAATCGAAGACCCGACTTTTCTTTTTCTATCTTGTTCCTTCAGATGATTTCCAGCTACCAGTACGATGGTAAGCGTTCGACTTCGACTATCGTAAGAAAGGAAAGGACAAAGACAAAATGATTCGAGTCTCTCTCTCTCTCTCTCTCGCTCTCTCTCTCTCTCTCTCTCTCTATTGTCCATGCACACGATGCCCTGGCATATTACTTTACTATCTGTCGCCATAATGCCCTTTCGTATAGACTTAGTATAGAGGGATTCGGTAGTCCTGTAATCTTCGTGGAACCTTTGTGCCGAACGGATAAAGAAACGTGTCGCGCACCCTCCCTGGGGATAAAGAGCTTTAAACCCAAGAGGCTGATTTTTCAAAGTCCTTCGCAACGATTACTAATACGTTCCCTCTTACTTGGCTAGTTGAAATTTTCTCACTTCTGTTCGATCAAAGTTGCCGAACGATGAAAGCCCCTGAAAGAAACAGCGGGTTTAATCCTCTGGCGGATCGCGTCCAACGAGATAAATAAGAATAATTTAGTATTATCCGGACAATTACCAACTCGTGGAATAATAAAAAATATTATATATTCCAAAATCGTCGATCATTTTTAGTTAGATCATCTTCACTCTTTCTTTAACTTTTTCTTTTACTTTTCCTTTTTCTCCCCTTGTTCGAGCTGGCAACCCAGCAGGCATCAACCTGGAATTTGATTGGCGGTGCATTTCTAGGAGATTCGTGCGATTTCAGGTAGAGATCGTGCCGACATTCTCTCGATTGAGGGCCGACAAAGGGATCGAGGGAATCTACTTTAGTCCCGAGGGTCTTACCTACGTCTTTCGTCGCGGAGGCGAGGACGAGGACGAACTAGAGAGGGATGAGGACGAGAGCGAGGGCGAGATCGAGACCGAGGATATATCGCCTAAGCGACTGCGTTGGCCGCCGTTGCAGGAAGCAATTTCGCAATTTTCCTCCTTGACTTTGTCATCTTCGCTTTGCTATTCGCCCGACGAAATAGAATTTTCCTGGTCGCTCAAGAGCGCCTCTTATCGGGTACACCCACACCACCACCACCACCACCACCACCACCACCACCATTATCATGATGCTATATATCGACGAAGCTAGTATTTTGACGAATTTTTTCCCAGAAATTTCATACATCTACCATCGTACGAAAAGGAACGGAAAAGAAGCCTATATATAAGGGTTGGGGAGGGGGGTTGGGAAAACCGTTTGACCATTAACTCGAACCGTTTAAGATACGAGACCGGAATGCCAACCATGAAATTGACGGAGATTAGATTACCGCGTCTCGAGAATCCGTAGGATCAAGGAGATCGTTGCAAATCATATAATTGTTTCGACCGCTTACTGTTTAGGGGCACTGCCCGAATAGAGACAAATCCCCTATATAAACTCGCGCCGTTCTCTCCCTATATCGTCGTGTGTATGCTTACAATAGCTCCAGTAATCTGTGAAGAAACAAACGCTTTCATTTCTGAAATGATGACAAAGCTGAATTCTCAGAGAGTCAACTTGGAACTTTTCTTTGCTCTTCCACCACCGATCGATGAATTACATCGGCGACAATTATATTCATAGATTTTACAAAGTTTTCTAAATTCTCTAGTATAATACGAGTCCTAGAATGGAGAGATATTATAAAAGATAGAGAGATACGCGCATAGATGTAAAAGGGAAGTATCCATTTTGAGGTAGACCGAGAAAGTTTCGTCGCGCGGAGAAAGCTCGTGAATAGGAACTCGATAGGCGAAAAGACACGGTGCGTTTACGTGGACGACGTAAGTAAGCGAGTAAGTACTTACTAGGTATTTGAGAGATGAACAAACAGAGACGGGACAAACGGTGCTTTTATCGGTGGGCAAACAATTGTAACCCCCTTGTCGTAAAAACGTAGCTCGTACGCGCTAGAATATCGTCGGCGCACATCGATGTTCGATCGTCGTAAACGACAAATATATCGAGGATAATAACTGTAAAAGCTTTGGAGGAGGCGTGTCTTGAGAATTTGCCGATTGGAAGAATCTATTTGGAGTATCTGTCTTTGGAATAAAAGTTTCAACGTGAAGGGACTTTCGACGTGAGGTTGACGAGAAGAAATGGTGAAAGCAAGTAAAGGGAAAAAGATTAAGGTTTGATCGTCATTAACCTTAATCCTTAAGAAGAGAAACTTTATCTTTTGTTTCGCAGTTACACGCGTAGAGAGGGGGGGGGGGGGAGAGAGAGAGAGAGAGAGAGAGAGAGAAAAAATTAAAAGCACTTACTTTTGGATCGTTACAATATATAATGACGATAAAAGAATCGGACATCCGATGGCGAAGATATATTGCGCGAAGA